TGTCCATTATCACTGTAGCTCCTCCTTTGTCCGTCTGAAGGACTAATTGTTCATTCGTTTCCAGGGTTTTAAGTATTACGGCAAATCTGTTCCTGTGTGTAGGCTCCGATGTGTCAAGATCTTTGGAATTAGTTTCACCTCCATTTTACGTTTTGTCTCCTCATGGATCTTGTCGGCGATATTGATGACCTCCACCAGGATGTCTCCTAAAAGGCTTGTGTGATGTTGAATTGAAAAATTGAGTCCTTTTTTCAGGAACGCGGTTGTTTCGGAATTGACAAGTTTAGTACTTTCTTTCGATCCTCGTGCTAATCAGTAGGTGATGTCACCTCGGAGGCCACTTTAACTGGGCGTACTGACTTTAACTTAGGCTGCCTTATAATCCCAAACCTACGCAATTTATCATCATGCCGTTTTGTTATTAAGTCAGAAATCCTACGTGGAGTTTTTGGAAATCTTTCGGAGACAGGATCCTGGCCAAACCACGCCGAAGCTTTGACTTAATATCTATAAACTTAAACAACTTATTCCGTTCTGTATCATACGTCTCACTTAGTTTCTATAAATCGAAAGGAGAATGCGACCATACCAGAGGCCACAACATCTTGGTCTTCATATTTTCAATTATTTGGTTAATTCACAAAATCAATATAGAATAATATGCAAGTGCAAAGGTATGAAACCAACGGTGACAGACCCAAGTAAATATGACAGATGGTAACTTCTAGCATAGGTAACTTAGATTTAATGACTCATTTTAAAGTATCGTCCCTATTGCGTAGTGGTTTAAATTTTGAAGGGTTCTGGTATTATTTAGTGGCTGCATAATGACGATTTCTTTTAAAGATTTGGCTTAAATAAAAAAAAGCCTAGAAGTCAAGACTGTAGTCCCTCAACGTCTCTCTCACAAGAACGGTTTAGCCCTAGAGGTTAAACATTTGCGTGAAGCATTTATTTTACAGAGCCATATTAAATTTAGCGAATATCGCAAGGGTATTTAATCGAATACACTCAAAATTAATCATGAAACATTTACCTTTACGAAGCCGTACATCGATTTTCTATTCTTTTCTTAGATCCGTAATGTAAAGAGTCATCACAGAAAAGATAGTGCACTTGGACATTGGCTCAGTCCAGACCTAATCTTCATTAATGTTATGGATTGCCATAAAAAATATATAAGCTTAATTCAGCGACAACCACACCACAGAATGCGAGATAGGAAAATGCCTGGCTTTCCCTGAAATTCGCAGCTGTCCTGTGACCCAGAGGCACTTATGGCAATGTGGCGTAGTGTTAACGTGTCGAGATTATACGCTGCATTGTCATGTGGGGAAGGAGAGATATCACGCCTGTTTAGTAGACAATTGGTCAAAGGATCGGCTTCACTTGTCTCTGACGGGTTGTAGTGTGGTGCTAATAATGGCAAGACTCACTGACAATGTCGGAGAAACGTCTCGGAATGTACCACACACAAGGTCCGACTCTGGAAATTATCATCAATACAATGGACTCCAGACTAGGACTTCATACCAATACGGCCAAGTTACGAAAACAAGGTCAAACAACTTCTACACAACGAAAGGAGACTGCGACCACACAAATGGCCACACCATCTTGGCCTTCATAGCTTCGATTAAAACTACTATAATTTGGGGCAAATAAAAACTAACCATAAATATCCACCCTCAAAATGATTCAACGTACTTAAAAGTGTGATCAAAAGTGCCTTTTCGAAAACTGGTACTGAAGCATAGATCAAAGTGATTTAATGTTTTCTCAATGCAAATAAGAGGGGAGTGGTAATATTAAAAATTCCCGCAATGGTGGGTGACGCATAGGGTTAGGAAGGTCTATAGCATATGAGATAAACATTTTTAAATTCCAAAATAAAATATGCTACCGCAAATCCACAGTTGAAAGAATAATTTCTTTTAGAATAGCATCCTCCTTTTCTTTGATCTCTTCTCGAGTTAAGCGCCGACCACTCTCTCGCCGATTTATAAAGAGACGACCATCCGACATCGCGATGTCTTTTGCCCGGGCCCGATGTTTAGGGTCTCGAACGAGAAAAGTAAGTGCTTGATTATAACTGGTCCATTGGCCAATATACTAAATTAAAGAGTGTAAAGCATACATGTGTCATGAAAGTGTAAATCCTGAAATAACAGGAAAGCTTAAAATGAGAGCATGCAAAGACTGCGTTATACTTTGATGAGTGAGATCGTACATTAAGGAGTGGCTTTGCAATAAATTTTTTTCAATTTAAGCGATATTCAGTTCGATCTCATTTTCGCAAATTTGTGACATTCACCGAAGGAATTCTCTGAACGTATTCCACAGTTATCGGTTCGTAGTAAATATTGGCTAAAACTATTCTAAAATTCGTTTAACTGAAAAACGGAAAAAAGTTCTTTGGAATTGCGACTCTGACAGATATGCGCTGAGCTTCAGCTTGTTGAATGATAAACTTGAGAATGATAAACCAAATATTTGGTAGATACGAAGAGTAAGTAGGTTTCTATTAATGTCTTGAGATAACATTGAAGGGTATAACTTCATTTCGTATGAAAATGCATGAACTCCATTGTAATACTCT